AATGTACTTTTGGGGCCTGGAGTACCTCGCATCATGCGTGATATACTCTCAGAGATCAGTTGTCATCGCAACTATCCTCACATCATATCAAAATTGGGCCTGGAGTGCCCTAGTAATCTTTTGGGCCTGGAGAGCCTCGTGGATGAGAGACATTTTTTACATTGATCGAGCTGTCAACACAACTCTGATCCACCTTGCTTTTCGCGTGCGCCGCGTCGGTGGGGACGCCTGCATCGAAGGATGCAGGTGCCACTGTTTTATTCTCTTTTTCTCTTGCTCTCCCATCCCTGTCACCTGTGGTGACGGAGTGTCGCGCAGGAGTGCCGAAACGTTTTTTGGGGGCGCACCCTGGGCCCGCTAACTCGGGCAGACACTCCTAAGTACCCCGTGTGGCGGGGTTGGTCCTCCTCCTCAATTCCTTGTCACTGCGCCCTCGTTTGGAGGGGCGGCGGATGAGACGGGGGCGTGAGTGGACTTCGCACCTCTGTTCCCGATCCCTGCCGTTGTCTCCCGTGGGCCCGAGGCCATCGCGAGCTGGCAGGTTTCGGGGCGGTGTGTGTGTGTGTGTGTGCGAAGTCCGCTCACTTTTCTATTACATCCCCTCCGCAACTGTATTGGTTCAGGTATTGGTTAACATGCATGCTGCGCAGTGCCTTGGACAAAAAGGAGTTCCACTCCTCGCCTTTACCTACGGACCCCGTGCAAGAACGGCCCTTCGGCCGTCTCTTGTACTCACATGACGTACCATTGTTATGCATGCCTGCGTGGCCCTCGATAGAAACGCTTGGCGCGTCGCGTGTGCCCGCCGGCCCAGTCAGAAACCATCGCCAGGCGATTCGCCCATCCGGCACGTTCTCTACGACCGCTCTATCCGTTCCCAACCCAGCGCAGGGTTTGACGTACCATTGTCATGTATGTTTGCGTGGTCTTCGATGGAAATGTTCGAAGCTTCGCATCCACCCGCCGGCCCATGCAGAAACAATCGCCAGGCCAATTGCCCACACGGCACGTTCTCTGAAACCGTCCTGTCCGTTCCTTCCCTGCCCCGGGCTCTGATATACCGTGGTTAAGCATGCTTGCGTGGTCGTCGGTCGAATTTATTGACGGTTCGCATCCACTCACCAGCCCATTCAGAATCGATCGCCAAGCGAATTGCCCTCCGTGCGCGTTCTCTACGACCGTGTTTTCCGTTCCTTCCTTGGCCCAGGCTCCCTTTTCCAACCGCTTTCAGCTCCCCCAAAGTGCACCCACCACCCTGCAGCCATTCCACAACCGTTTCCAACCGCCTCCAGCTCCCCCCAAGTGCACCCACCGCCCTGCAGCCCCTCCCACCCCTTTCAACTCGCTCCATGCTCTGTATCACTCCAGCTTTCTCCAACCCCCCCGACCCTCCGCAACCCCCTCCACCCCCCTCCAACCCTCCAGTTCCCTCCGACCCCCTCCAGCCTTGGAGCTCCCACTCAACGCCTTCGAACCCCGTCCAACGCCCTCGAACCCTCTCTGGGCTCCGCCGTCCTTCCCTCTCTCCTCCGTGCTCCAGGCTCTGCACTTCTCCGCTTCTCGCACTCGGTGGTAGTATATTATTTTCACTCCTCCTAGCGTTGCTTGGGCCTTCGCGTGAGACGTACGCACGTTTGAAGCAGCTCGCATCAGCAGCATAACCACCTCCACAAGGCTGAGTACCTCGTCGTTCCTCGGTTTCTTGGCCCTGTTTCCTGGCTTTCTTTCTCTTGCTTCCTTGGTTCCATGATCTCCATGACTTGAGTTCCTTTGGACTCGTGCTCGGTTTCTTGGTCTCGAGTCCTTACGCTTGATTTCTTGATTCTTGTGTCTTGGTTCCAAGGTTCCTTGAAATCGACACCTAGAATCCTCGTTCTTGGTTCCTTGTTTCTGCTTGCTCGTCTCGTCAATCTTCGCGCGAGCTTGAGTTGCCTTCTGTGAGTGACAACTGACCTTTCTGTATTTTCCGGGTTACTCACTGGGTCTCCGTGCCCTTGCAAGGCCAAGCGATGCAACACATGTCAAGAAATGCAAGGCAATGCCAATCAGCGCCCAGCAATGCCGCGCAATGCCAAGCATAGCCAATCAATGCCAATCAACGCCAATCAACGCCAATAATCATCAAACAATGCCGCTAGGCAAGGCCAGGCAACGCCGAGCACTCCCAAGCATCTCGAAGCAACGCACAGCAATGTCAGGCAATGCTAAATCATACCAAGCAATGCCCAGCAGCGTGAAGCAATACCAGGACAAGTCAAGGAATGCCAAGCAGCGCCAAGAAGTGCTAAGCAACACTGAGCAATGCCAAGCAGTGCTACTAAGGAAGCTTTCCCCGAATCGGGTTCACGCCGGGTTCATTCAAGGCTCTCGCAGGTTTTCTCGGCAGCCCTCGACGATATTGGTTTGTCTTAGATACTTCAGCACGGGGTGTCTTACTGATAACGAGGAAGCAGGAGGGTGAGACAGACGAGGTGGATGGTGATGCTGATGCTGCTGGTGA